GTGTAGTTTGAATATATTGTTCCCAAGTTGATTTAAAATCCTTATATGTACCTGCTTTCCCTCTGCTAATATGTTATAAAGTATAGACAGTAGCCCTTTACAGTTATGACCCGTTGTTCTTATTAGGTTCTCAAGATTAGTGGGTGGTTTAGTAGCTTGTGAAATTACTTCTGACATCATAATAAAGTCATGTTCTAAATTAAACAGGCACCAGGAACATTTTGCACCTGGCTATTGGCCACTTGCGACCAAGTAAAGACACCTGGGTGCCAGGATGGCACCTGACATCTCCATCATCTGGAGGTGCTTGTCTGGAGATCATTGGATCTGTACTGCTTTCACACACTAATAGGGGAGAGGACAGAGGACTACATGCAGGGTGGGCACCACTTTGCCGCATTCCTGGTGCTGTTTGCCCCATCCACACTCCTGGCTGCATACTGCATGGTCGTGAATATAAGCTGCACTTTAACTTTTCAGTCAGAATTTGGGTGGAAAGTGAGGCTTAGCTCAAAGTTGTCATCTGAAGTAGCCAGAAGTTCACAGTTCACATAATTCAATTACAGTCAGTCCACCATTTGAAAATAAGACAGCACTCAGGTGGCATGCCCCGCCCCAGGCACCGGCAGCAGTTGCTACGCAGGTGGCCATTTGGGCTGGGGCCTCAGACTTCTTCCCAATGGTCTGTTGATAATGGCACCACTGATCACTTTGAATAAGGGTATTTGAAGGATTCAGTTTAAAAGAAAGACAAATAAGACCTAGGATCTTGCTTGAAATCATAAATTAATAGAGGACATTTTAAAGAGGAGGAAATTATTTAGGGGGCAACTAGAGAGAATCAGTCAGAATGCAAGAAATGTTTTGGACTATGATCGGTTTCCAACAGAATTTCTACTGACACACAGACAAGGGTGGGAGAATCTCTGGCTTTCTTGGTGCTGTTTCTTTGGCAAGAGGGGAACATTTTTGTCCTTGCATTAGTGAGAAGATAACATTCATGGAGTGACGCTGAATCCTTTCAGGGGAGGAATTATTTGCTTCCAAGTACGTTTTCACACACTCTCAGACACAGTTTCCCCTATTTGTTGAGTGTTCTGATGTTGACCAATGTCTTCTTTGATTTTCCATCTAAGTTATTCACGCTTTTATTAATTTTGCAGCTTTTCTGTTTCCATGGCCAAGAATCTGTCACAAACTACTTCCTTCCAAGGTCCATTTTCACAGATCTTGCCCAAAACACTGAATAGACTCATGAGTGTAGCCAGAATTTAAGTTGGGGGGGCAAAGAACCGAGCTATCTGTGATGCAGTTGGTCAGTTAGTTATGTGTTTTTATTTCTTTACTTGATTTAAGGGTGGCAGTGCCAAAGTTGTTGAACTTTTTTGGGGGGGGCGCTAAAAATATGCGCCACATTGGGCTACCTTAAAAAGTGCCAAAAACATGTGCCGCGCCAACTTCCATCCAGGGTCTGCCAGTGTGTTCTGGCTGGAAAAAAAAGCCCTGGGCTACACCCATGACTAGACTTCTATTACTTATATCCTTCCTAATTTAATTTTTTCTTTTGCCCCTTGGTAATACTAATTTTACTTATAGAACTATAACTTGTTTGAAAGTGTTGGACTTTTTGTTTCTTATCTGGAATACTACTTGAGAATTCTGGACTTTCCACTGTAGATATAATTTATTTTATGCTGGAAATTAAATGTAGCTAGTAACTAACTGAATTGCTTTCTCTGGAATAATTCATTTAATTCTTTATAGTATATTAATACAGTTTTATTGCTTTTGTTTTAACGTTAGCTGAATGGGAAAGTGTAAGAAGTAAAGCTGCACTTTACTAGAACACAAGACCCCTTGGTGGCTTTCACCACATGAAGCTTTACTGCTCAAACTACTTGGAAAGAAAGGTAAGTGGCTCACGTATGTTGACTTGTTAAAGGACCAAGAAGGAAAATGGAAATTAAGAGACTATGAGGAAATAAAAGAGCATTTTCGGAGTTGGTTACACTATTGGCAATTACATGAGATTTAAAAAGACAATAAGAAAGGATTCAGTTACACAACATCTAGATTTCAGAAGGAAGTTCTGGAAGGCGCATATAGTATTCTGCTAGAATGGGAAACAAAAGACGAGGAGGTGAAATCAGTTATGATTAAATGGGCACAAGACATAGGTCATAATATATTTGAAGATTGGGAAAGATTGTGGAAAACTGATTTAAAATTTACTGATTGCTCTTTACTGAAAGAAAATTACATGAAAATGATGTATAGATGGTATATAACACCAGTACAGATAGCAAGAATGTACAAAACTAGTTTCAAATGTATGTTGGAAATGTAAGGAAAAAGAAGGGACATTCTACCATATGTGGTGGGATTGTAGTGAAAGCAAAAATTCTGGGAAATGATATATAATGAGTTGAAGAAAATGTTCCAATTAACATTTGTAAAAAAGCCTGAAGCATTTTTTGTTAGGGACTGTAGGAAAATACCTGCCAAGGAAAATGAATAACATATTTATGTATGTGTCAGGGGTTCAGGAGCAGAGGCAAGGGCAAGGGAGGAAACAGAGAGCGAGGGGGAGGAGGCAGAAGAAAGGATGAGTTGATGACGACGAACCCGAGATCTCCGAGTCTTTCCAGTGATTCAGAAGATTCAGTGATTCAGAAGATTCACAGAAAGGAGCACCAGTGGCAGGGCAGGGGGGAGCCTAGGGGGACACCCAGGAAGAAAGGGCCCAGAGGGGGCTCAGAGGGGAGCAAGTGGGAAGTCGGGACCAGCGTCGCCCAACAGAGAGCAGGGGAGAGGAAGGGCGCCAGGTATTCAAGCGCTTGGAAGCTCACCAACAGGAGGAGGGCAAGAAGTCAGGAGTGGCACACCTAAATACGGGGGAGCGAAAGAAACGGTCAGACGGAAAGTGGAAGGTTGGTGCCGGCGCGCGCCAAGGTTAAATGCCACAGAAGGTGGCGCGAGTAGCAGCCCGGAAAGGAGCCAAGGTCCTAAAGCCGCCGCAGGAGAGAAGGGTCCCGGGGGGTCAGCCGTCAGAAAGAATCCCGGAAGGAAGAGACCCCGGGGGCAGAGGACCAGAGAAGAACAGTCAGGCGGAAAAGGTGGAGTAGGCTAGGGTAATTAAGTTGTGTACAGGGGGCGGAGACTCAGACGGAGCTTCGCCGGTCTAACCTTAAGACGTAGAGTTGCGCGCAGCAAGCTTGAGAATGGAAACTGTAAACTCAATAAAAGACTTTTACAAGTGACCGCTGGCTAGCGTGATCCTCTGTGAGCTAGGATCTGGAAGCAGCTCTGACAGTATGCAACAACGGCGGCAGAGTCTTAATAGCACAGGGATGGAAGAACAAAGAAATCCTGACAAAGACAGTGGCAAGGGAAATTGACGGACTACGCGGAACGGGAAATTGACACACAAACTGCACGATAAGGACAACTGTGACTTTAAAGAAGAATGGGAACCTTTTACAAAGTATTTAAAGAAACAACAAAATGAACTGGACTCCTTGGCAGGGTTTGAATAAACATACACAAATTTATTATGGTGACATATAGACAGATAACTTAAGGGATCTTTACAATTTTATAATATGCAGAGATAACATGTGCTGACAAAACCAGAGAGAGGAGCTGAGGGAAGTCCGGGGGTGGGTTATTCTTGGGGAGGGAAAAATTGGGGGGGGGGGAATGTGGATGATATGTTTTTGATAAATTGTTATGCTGAAATTCTTAATAAAAATTATTCCAAAAAAAAAGTTAAAGCTGCACTGATCACTCTCATATTAGGATCTCTTAATATACCTGAATTAGTTAATACAACTAGCTTCAGATTTCATTCACTCTTTTATCATTTACTTGTAGCCGTATTGTAGATGTTTCAGTTATTATACTTTAATACAACAGTAACAAAATTTATTAAATGGTCACAGACTTGGCCTTTAATTCAACATGTCTTTGTTTGATACAACAGCATCACTGTTTTTAATGAATATCTACAATTTTTTCACTATTTGTCAATTATTAAATTGATTTTGTCTGGTGTGGTTCTGACTCTTCAGACACCATCCCTTTTCTCATTCAAGCAAATTAATATAGAGGGAATAAAGATCCCATTTTTCACACTCAACACTAGCTTCCTAGGTACTCTTGTTCTTGTCGTTGGCATCTGTCTTTCTCAAGAGACAATGGAGTGTGCCTCTGAGGATGAAGTCAAACCGCTGTGTTAGCAGCACCAAAGTGACCTCCCCAGGACAGAAGCCTGGGCAGTGTGCATGGATGTCCAGGGTTGTCCAGACGACAAGACCCATCTCTTGGCCTCGCAGAAATAAGAGAATAATTTCCAAAAAAGAGAGTGGCCTGTATTCAAAGAGTTCCCAAATAGATTGTGTTCTAGTGTGCCCCCCTTCTCACCTTCCCATCCAACCCTATAATCTCCTCTGTCCATCTCTTCATCTGCGTTTTCCAGCCACCTGCCAGCACCAAAACTTTGCTATCCTCATCTTTGCTGGATTTCTGAGTAACTCCTTTTGTCCCACCCCCTGCACATGTCAAGTGTGCAAGCTTCCCCATCTGGACAACATTGTGTAGTCAGAGGGAGACGGAGAAGGGGTGATTAAAAGCTTTTCCTCTCTTCCTTCTCTAGTCCTGGGCTGGATTTCCACAAGAAACAAGTTATCTGAGCTGGACCAAACGAGCAGTACCCTCTTACCTGGACAAGTGAACAAGCGGAAAAACCAAATGAGCAGCAAAGCCAACCACACTACACGGTTGTTGCTTCACTGTTTGGCATTCTCTTTCTTCCTGCCAGAGCTCCGTCCAATTCCACAGGCCGTGGGAAGTAGTGTGAAAGCCTCATTTTCAATGGAGGAGACAGCCAAGGTTGTCAGCATTGGAAGAGGAGCTGGCTGGGTCTTGGTGGAGCTCAACAAACTGCCAGTTGGAAAAGATGCCCCTCTACTGGGTGATTAACAGAGTAACTTTACACGAAATAACAAAATATGTTTTATTTTCTTAGAATTCACATCAAATGTAAAATTTCAATAAAGGAAAGCTCTAATACACATACTGAATTGGAGACTTGCCAAAATACTGAAAAACCAAATGAATATGGCACTTCCCATGAGTAACAGAACTGGAAATGCTGCAAATCCAGAGCTTGGGACAGAGAAATCACCGCTCATAAAAGCATTGCATTTTTTTCAACAAACATCTCAAACTGGATGGTAGGCAATCAGTGGCAGTACATCTTCATAAATGCGAGTAGTACTGCTTTGCAGAAGGTCTCATGCCTTGGCAAATGAACGAGCAGGGCAGGCACTTTCACAAGCAGAAGAAAGGATAGCCAGTGCTTAAAGATTTGTTTAGGATGCCCCAGATCCACTCCCTGATCCAAAAACATCCCCCATGTTCGTTTTGTATTCATCAAACAACTTCTGGACTCTTTCTTGTAAAGCTATTAAAACACTGGCAATCAAGCCACAGAGCAAAAGGAACAACAAGACACCCAGAACTATTGCAACGATATTCAGAATCTTGGCTCTCTTGCCATATCTAGTTGCATCTTCAGCATTTCCAGCGACTTTACAATCCCTTGCCTGCAGGGGAGAGAATTTTTTCAAACAAACAAACAAACAAACAAACAAAACAAACAAACAAACAAAGAATTAACATTGGAAACATTTGCACATGCTTACAACACCTAAAGCTCAAATGGACTTTCCATGACTGTTGTGTCATCATAATCAAATCTACTGTTTCCTGTTCAGTGCTATTAGTGACCAAAGGATTGTGCAAAATGAAAGTTCCTGCTTCCCAAAAGGTTGCATCCTATTCTAGCCTCAGCATCATCTGTCTTCATTCATATTCTTTTAATGAGAGCCCACCAACCCTTCTAGGCCCAAGGAAGTATTTGGAATGTTGAGACTGTAATAAGAACCAACTCCTGTTTTCCTCTCTCCCAAGATAGACAGAAGCACATGTGCCCACCTTCAAATTCACTTTACTTTTCCATGAGCAAAAATCAGATCCAGTAAATTTTAAATGGATCCTCTTGAATGTGCATGATTTTATACAAGCCACACACACCCCAACCCCCATGATTAAAGCTTACACTGACAGACTGAAGAGTAACAATCACAGGTGTGTTGCTTCCTATTACCTCAAAAAACATTTATTTAAAACACGGAGCCTCATGATTTTTGCATAGGATGACAACAAAACCACCAACAAATCTCAGACTATATCTATGGACACAGAGGTGACCGATGATTTGATGGTGGTTTTAAGGAGATTCCTTGTAAAAAAAATAAATTAAAAGTTGAGATCTATAAGATTATGTGTCTCAGATCCAGAGACCACTGGAATCTGTGATCTTTACAGTTTAGTCAAAGGAAACAAGGGGATCGTTGTTGGAAGTGGAACCTAGAAACAAATTATACCATCTGTTCTCACTTCCCACTTTCGCAAAACACAGATATGCACACAAACAATGCACACACCTCACTTTCCCAAGGGATCTGTGTAAAAGTTGAATCTAGTAAAATTACTCTGAGCCTTGAAAAAACAGATACTTTACGGTACAGCTGAAAGAGGAAGTGAGAGTGTCAAGCTTCCAATTTCCTCCTTCAAAGGTACTTTCATGGGAGAAAACAGTAACCCTCACTATCACACTACCACCTTATGATGAAGGAGGCAGTAAGCGGGAAGAGCCTCAGGGGTGTTGAAGGCACCAGAAGTGTGAAGGCACAGGTGTCACTGTGCCCACAGGTGCCACAGCTGGAGACCCCTGCAGACATTAACTATCAATCCCCAAACGGTGCCCAAGACTGTATCTTAATAACTAAGGTGGTAAGAGGGATTGGAGGGCATTTTCTTCTCAAATGTACCAAAAATCCTATTAATATAACTGATGTATTAGCGCTCTCTCTCCCCATACACACACGAATGAGTTGTATTCTGAAACGCATCCATCTCAAAGCTAGAGAATATGAAAATTAAATAGCCTTGCCTACTGCTTCAGTGTCATTGAGTAATTTATACTGCTGAATCCTAATACTTTCAAGCAAAACAGGCCATGTGCCTCTAAATATGTCCTCCACACCTCATTTTTTAGTAGAAAAATGATTTTAAAAATATGAAATGTATGTCTTCTGTGGTGGATATGGAATTACAGGAGATGGGGAACTTTCCACAATGACTCCACAGCTTTGAATGTCTTGGGGGGGGGGTTCCTTGGAAAGCAGACAGGGATGAACTTTGAGAATTTAACACATTTCACATAGGGTTTTATACCTGTGTCACTCGCAGAAATCCAACAGGTGATGCTTTTCGCACCACAAAGGGAACCAGGGAGCCACAGCTGTTGGATTTCTACTTTCCCAGAGTTGCTGAGAAAAGTACAAAGGCTTCTTGGAAAGGGCAACGCTAGGATCTGAGTCAAGGGTGGAGGAAAGCGAGGGGTTGTCCTAGCAAGGGCAGGAAACGAAGCAAGAACAGCGGTGTACAACATATTCTGGGCCAAACAAAAATATTCCCCAGCCATTTTGAGGTGGTGGGGGGCCGTCGGCGGACACTAAAGTGAGGGGTGAGGAGGGAACACGGCCGGAGGATTTACTGGCGGAGCTTTCCCGCCTTTTCTTGGCGCCTTCACCTTGATGGAGTAGACGAGGGCCGCGAAGCCCAGGCAGCAGGCGTTCATGAAGGAGAAGTTGTACAGCGACCAGAGCACGTAGTCCTTGGGCTGCTCGACGACGAAGGGGTAAGGGCAGATCGTGATGGTGTCACCGCCGATCATCTCGACGCTGTAGGGCCTCAGGTTGACGTCCATGGCACTTTCTAGCTCCATGGTGGCCGAGAGCTGCTAGTGCTGGCGGGAGGCTGCTGAGGAAGAGGAGGAGGAAGAGGATCCCGCCGCCCGTGATGGTAAGGGTCAGGATTTGTCAGGAGCGGTCTCTGGCGCACGAAGCTGGGGCCTCTGTCCTGCTCCTCGAAAACGGGGGCGGAGCAGGGCGAACAGGGCAATGGATATGTATATCCCTGGAGGGCGCGGGAGGGAAGGCGTGTTTGTTTCCAGAGCCGCAGGGGAAGCTCAGCGGCGGTCCTGGGGCCACGCGGCCTGGGGAGGCTCGAGTTCTTATCCCGCCTGCTGTCTAGCAGCAGCCTAAAGAAAAGGAACCGCAGTGTAACTCACACACTGGTAATTTACCAGTAAGCTTTTAGCATAGTGTTAAAAAAAAGGGGGGGGTTGAGAACTACCGTCAGAAAGTAAAGGGGGAATTATATTCCTATAGAGACAAGCAGTGCTAGATTTACGTATAAACTAAACAAGCTATAGCTTAGGGCCCCACTCTCTTGGGGGCTCCTAGAAAATTTAAAGGGGGGGGACTGGATGTACATTTCCAAAATATAAGATAAAAACCAAATACAATAAAACCTACATGTACAGCAACAGTGTTTTGTGTTGTGTAGGCTCCTATGATGTAAGTAATGGGCCCTGCCTGCTAGCCTGCTCCCTAAAATTACCATATAGCATATATTCAGCACAGAAAACAGCGACAATTTGTTGTTGACAAAGGACAGCTGGAGATATAAAGGGCCCCATTACCTTCACTAGCTTAGGGCTTCATCAAACCTAAATCCGACCCTGGAGACAGGTCTTTCACTGCATTGTTTCATTTCACCGCTTGTACCCTGCTTTTACTTTCAAAAAGAGGAGCTGAAGGGTCTGACACATGGGCGTAGCGGGGGGGGGGCTAAATCAAGTAAATAAATAAAAATACTTAACTAACAGGTCAATTGCCTCACACATAACTTGGTTCTGCCCTCCCCACCATAAAGCCTGCCCCCCTCAAATCCTGAGTATGCCCATGGTCTGACAAATGACCAAGTACATGAGAAAGGCAGCTAGTCCAGCCTCTTTAAAAAACCCCACTAAAATAATCTTGTCAACAAATTTTTTGTTCAGTACCAAAAGGGGACTGGGGAACAGTTCATTTAGTAAAGAGTTGCATTCAGCTAACTTTTACTCCTAGTAGACCCTTTGAAATTAATGGCCATGACTAACTTAGGTCCATTAATTTCCACAAATCTCCTCTGAGTAAAAGTTAACTGAATGTTGTATTTGTATACTTTGGCACACATAGTGTTACACATTTATGTTCCTCTAGAAAATATATTGTGTATTTTCCCTGCCTGACACATAGCAACCCAAAAACCTGACCTGTTGAAACTTCAGTTTGTTGCAGAGATGCAGTTGCCTGGTCCAGGAAACAGGTTGTATTCAGGGCTTTTTTTCTGGGGGACACAGACGTTTTGTGAATCTAAGTTTGGCCACATTAAGGGGCAGTATTTCAATATGAGTAGGAAAATGAGAGTGCCCCTAAACATTTTTTTAGAAAAAAAATCACTCTTTGTATGACACTATTCCTGCTTTGCCCAGCTTTAATTATCTAGTTAAAAGTCCCTTTCTCTTGCCCTATTGATTTATCTATATCCACTTGGCGGTTGACAAACTTTTGCTAATAATAATAATAATAATAATAATTTATTTATACCCCAGCCACTCTGGGTAGCTCCCAACAGAATTAAAAGCACAATAAAACATAAAACGTTAAAAACTTCCCTAAACAGGGATGCCTTCAGATGTCTTCTGAACGTCAGATAGTTATACTGATAATTTATTCTTGTTGTAACATGTCCATGGAGTACTCAGATTTCAGATCTAATTTGGAACCTCTTTTGACATTTGTCACAATTAAGCATATTTCCTTTTTCCTGCTTCTTTGTCCTGGGCTTAAGCAGGCTCATATTTTATAGAGGTTACTTTACTCCCAGTGCTGAGAACTCTGCATTAGAAAATAAACATCTAGAAACTAGCTATCCAAGCCTGCATAGGCTTGCTCTTTTCTACAATCTGAGTACACATGAAAATATTTTTTAGCCTGATTCAATAAAGAACATTTACTTGGCTCAGAGTTCAGTTCTTTACTTCCTTAGATAATCATAAAAACTGAGAAATGTTTATAAAGCAGAACGTTTTCCAGCAGCAGCTGAAAGGCTACAAAGCAAAACACCAGGGCAGGACTACAGTGAAGAATTCTCCTGATGACCAAACCACACAAGACATGGTAGATTCATGATCATATCTCTCAACTGATGTGAGGATGTGATCTTAATTATTGAGGTATATGGGACTGATTTTCCTCAAAGCACCATGTTTAGAGAAGACCAATCTGAATCACCTTGAAGAAAGTGCTTTTAGCTTTGCAGTGGAAGAAATTAGGGTAGCCCAGTGCAAAAGAAACGGTGCTTGTACCTTTAATAGTTGTATAAAAGAGAGAGTTTCAACTGACATTACAAACTGAAATTCCCTCTTCTGCACAACAGTAAAGGGGAGGGGGGAAGAGTCTTACTGTCTTTTTGCACCACCACCGCACAAGAACAGTAGATACACATATTGTGCCTATGTTTCTCCCCAACCTCCACTGCAGATATAAAAAAAGTTTGGGGAAATTGCATGGGAGAAAAGGGTTACCATTTTTTCTAAGACGCACTGTTTCCCTCCTAAAAAGTAAGGGGAAATGTGTGTGCGTCTTATGGAGCGAATGCAGGCTGCTCAGCTATCCCAGAAGCCAGAACAGTGAGAGGGATTGCTGTGCAGCGCTCCCTCTTGCTGTTCTAGCTTCTGGCTTAGCCGCGCTCTGTCCCTTCCCCCACCTCCAGCAAGAGCCGCACTCCCTTTAAAGAGCGCATGGCTCTTGCTGGCTTTTGCAGGAGATGGGGGAAGGGTCAGAGCGCGCGGCTCTGTCCCTTCCCCCATCTCCTTTAAAAGCTCGCAAGAGCCACGCTTCCTTTAAAGAGCCAAGCAGAGCGTGTGTGCGGCTCTTGGGGGCTTTTCCCCGAGGAGGGAGAAGGGCAACCCGTCAGTGACAGGATGCCCTTTTCCCTCCTCGGGGAAAAGCCCCCAAGAGCCGCACACACGCTCCACGTGGCTCGTATGGGATACATACAGGCTCTGCTCAGTGCTCCCTTTAAAGATTTTTTTTCTTGCATTCCCCCTCTAAAAACTAGGTGCGTCTTATGGTCAGGTGCGTCTTATGGAGCGAAAAATACGGTAAACACCCTGTCTCCAGTGCAATGCTACATCTCCTACAGCAGCTGTGGTCAGCCCAGTACTAGTCTGCAGGAAAAGGACAATCGGAGCAAAGGAAAGGGCAGTGGCTGTTTCCTGAGATTATCATAGTGGGAAGATTAATGTTGTTGTTGTTGGCAACCGTTTGTCTTGAGAGACTCCTCTGGGGGGTGATGTCAAACCATTGCATTGGCAGAAGAACACCCTTGGTTTTTGTAGTTTTTCTATTCCTGGAATAATTCTGATATATGACACGTTGAGTCCTACACTAAATAATGTGTGTGTTTGTGATTACAGATGATCTGAAAAACATAATAGATGCTGCTTTCAGATTGGCTCTGAATCTTAGCAGGATGTAGTCAGTTAACAAATATGTGGAGGGGTAATGTGTTAGAATGAGCGTGCTCTACCCCCCATCCCACCCCATCCCATTTGCTTTCACTGCCTGTGGAGCTTCCAACACAGCTCCTCAACCAGCAGATCCTGAGTACAGGATTGCACCCTTATTCTAGGAGACTAAGTAGAAACTAATGAAACATAATCTTTCAGAAGCCCAGGCCAGAAGCAGAGCTATTTAGGTTGAACTTTGGCTACTATAATAAATGAGCTGCAGTCTGTGAAACTGACAGAATTTCTGCCATCAAAGCTGTTCTTGTTTTGTGAGCTATGGGGAAAGAAGAGAAACCCAGAGATTTCATTTGTGAGAAAGCAGATAGACTGACCTTTTCCATCTGAACTTATGACAACACTCTGTGGTATGCTTTTTTCAGTTTCAAGGGGCTGGACAGTGGCGTCCTTTGTTCATCTGTTAAATTCAGCTCTGCATTGGCAGCAGCTGTGGTAGCTTCTTCAAAACTTCCTGTCCTTGTTTGGTACTTTGGTTTCATGATAAATACCTAAAAGGTATATAAATGGGGGACAATAATTGCAATTTGATAGATCTTAAAAGCTGAGATCAACAAGGTTTCTAATATATCATTTATACCAGTTTTATGGTATCAAGCAGGAATGTCAAACATGGTTCATGTGGGCTTGTATCCCATAAGAAAGTGTGGAAGTGGATTGCTTTAGAGAGTCTGGATTAATTATCATGTTCTTTTGCACTGCTTAGATGGTGTTCTGTTTTATTGTGGGTAATCTAGTCCTGAGGGCCATCTAGTTCAACCCCATGCAATGCAGAAATCTCAACTAAATCATACATGACCGATGTCCATCCAATCTCTGCTTAAAAACCAGCAAAGTATTCCAGGCTCCCTTAGAACCCCAGACCCTGATCGAGCATACCTATTTCTTCTCCCACTGCCAAAGACACCTCCCTGACCCTACTTCCACTCTCCACAGAGGAGCAACCAATATTTCTAATATGTAGGAAATAATTTTGGAACACAGAGAACCTTTTCCTGACAAATCACACGAAGTTCTCAATGTTACAATAGAGGCTGAGATAGCAGAAGTACCCTGTATGACATTTTTAATGCAGACCTTAATGGGCCAAAGAAGCTACATGAAACATTTTAGCCTAAGCGTATCATCACAGCATTTCAATTTGAGCTTCAAAGAGAGAGAAACCTATCTTGATTAATCCTGTGTCAGCCATGTATTCACCTCAATGAGGCACTTGGAAAGTATGAGTTCTCGACTCTCCAGAGATTCCACTCTAGAGGAAAACAAGCTTTCATTGCCAGTTGAGGGTCTGCTAAGTCCCAGACTGGCCTTCACACACACACACACACAGCTATTTCTTTTTTAGAAAGAAAGAAAGAAAGAAAGAAAGAAAGAAAGAAAGAAAGAAAGAAGAAAAGAAGAGCAAGCAAGCAAGTCTTTAGAAATCCAAACCAATCTTCTTTAACAAAACAACATTCTATTCAACATAAACTCAATAGCTTTGTTTTAACACTCAGTGCATACAGAATTATATATTAACAGACCCCTTTATAAAACTTCTTGTTTTAAAGTGGGCATCTCTTTGTTGATAAATTCCACTT